AAATAAGGTTATTGATTATTATTATTATTGTGTGTTATTTCCTTATTGACATTTAATTATTTGACATTGAAAATTGACATAAATATTTAATTCTTTTTTTTATATAAATAGGAAAAGGAATAAATGTTTTGTTTTGTTTTTTTTTTTTTTTTTTTTTTTAATAAACAATTTTTATTATTATTATTTGTAATTTAAGTTTTTTCTTAAATGTATCGTACTTTTGGAAGAGATAAAAAAAAAAAAATTTCCTTCGAGCCGGATTTGAACCAGCGACCTATGGATTACTATGAACATTCCTCTACAGTCCACCGCTCTACCAACTGAGCTATCGAAGGTGATGCATGGAATTTTCGTTTAACGTCATTTCTAATGATTTTTATTTTTTAAATATATTTTTTATTTTATATATTTATTTGTATATGAAACTTTTTAAAAAAAATTTAAATCGATCTTAGTGTCACTTTTTCTCTCTTTCTAAATTGATAAAATAAATAATTGTACGTCCAACGTAAATTAGATTATTTAGGAAGGATTATCAACGTTAAGCCCACGTTTTTGCAAGTAAGAAACATCCTTTTTTTGTTTAAATATTACATATATAATAAAAGTCTCAATAATTTTAATAGATAATAAATGAATAAAATTTAAAGCAAAGGTTATGATGAAGTTAATAATAATTTAAAAATTTCTTGTGAATAAGTAAGTGTTAGGAAGTAAAGAAAAAAATAAAAATAAATTTACCATTGTTGTTGTTATTATTATTATTAATATTATTAATGTTTTAAGTTTACTTAAATGCTATATTTTTGTAAGTTTTAAGTTCTTGAATGCTATTTTTAATATCATCCAAAGCTCTGTGACTTACTTCTTTTTTGCAATTTTTTAACTCATAAGAATACCAATGATTACAGAGAACTTTTAACGATGAAACATCTATTAATCTATAATGAAGAAAGGTTGGAATTGATGGCATATATTTTTTAAGAAATAATAAGTCCATATAAACAGAATTACCAGCCAAGTAATTTGTTCCTACAAGTTATATAAAATTATTTCAATGTTAAAAATTAGAAATAGTAATATTTATAAAAAATAATTTACCATCTATAAAAGTATTCGACTTAATATAATTGAATAGTTTTTCTTCGACATCTTTTAAAGAATGAGGACTAGCTCTAGATTCAGAAATTAATCCAGACTGAAATTAATATTTTTATCATAAGTAATAAATGCAAAAGTAAAAAAACTTTTATTAAAATATTATTTTACTTTTTCATGATGCACCAAACACCATTCATTCATTGATTTTAGTACATTATCATTTTGATGAATTACAAAATGCATTCCTTCATTCAAAGGATTTAGGTCAGGCTCTGTAATAATGCATGCAACTTCTAAAATAGTATCTGTTTCCGGATTCAATCCTGTCATCTAAAAAAAAAATTTAAATAAACCTAAAAATTTGTTTTTTTCTTTTTTTTTGTAAACTACGGCATTTCGTACTTCCAAATCAATCCAAATATATCTGTCTAATGTCATTTTAAGAGCTTGGCTAGTTAAACGTCTCAAAATGGGCAAACCTAAACTCATGTCATATACTCTATCATAGAAAACTGAATAAAATGGATGTGCGTTACGCCATTTGTACCAAAAAAAAAAAAAAAAAAAAACTAAAAGTTAAAATATGAAAAATTAAAATTAAAAAATATGTATATTTTATTTAAACTTAAATTAAACTTTTTTAATTAAATAAAAATTTTTTTACATTTGAACTCGACGTGGTTTTAGAATTTTTATGAAAAATGTGCCCAATTCTAAATATTACTTAGAATTTTTAAGATTGAAATTAAAACATTTTTGTAAAGTGAAAGAACATATTAGATTTTATGTATTGTATGTATTGATTGTAATTTTTTACAAATTAAAACTTAATAGGAAATAGTTTTAAAATCATGGTTCGAAAATTAAAATTTCACGAAAAAAAACTTCTTAAAAAAGTTGATTTTATTGCTTGGGAAGCAGATAATAATTTACATGAAATAAAAATTATGAAGAAATACCATCTGAAAAAAAGAGAAGAATATACACTGTAAGTAATATATTTAAACATATATATATATATTTTTTTAGTAATATATATATAAATAAATTTTTTGTCTTTTAAAAAGGTTAATATGTTATTTTTTTCTTTAAGGTACAATAAAATTTCACGTGAAATAAGAGAAGTTGCTAGAAAGATAAAAACATTAGATCAAAATGATCCATTTAGAACAGAATGTAGTTCTAAATTATTGGAAAAGTGTTATATCCTCGGACTTATTCCTACTAAATGGGACTTAGCTCTAGTAGATAAAGTTAGTTAATTGTAATATTGTCTGTTGTTTTTTTTTTTTTCGATAAACTTTAAATTATTTATATTTAAATTTATGTGTATTTAGATAACTGCGAGTAGTTTTTGTAGGAGACGATTACCTGTTATGATGGTTAAAACTAAAATGGCAGAAAATATTAAAGCAGCTACTGAATTTATTGAACAGGGTCATGTAAGAATAGGACCTGATTTAGTTAAAGATCCAGCTTTTTTAGTGTCTAGGTGAGTTTGATTATTAAAATAATGCAATTCATTCTTAAATTAATTCTTATTCGAAAATCGATATTTTATTTTCCGACAGGTATTTAGAAGATTTTATTACATGGGTCGATACATCTGCCATCAGAAAGCATGTACTGAATTATAATGATGAAGTAAGTCTAGTTTTCCTTCTTATAGTTGCAAAGTTTAGATAGAAGTACCTATTGTTAAAGTTTAAATTAAATTTTCACAAATTTGAATCATTATTAAGTTGCTTCTTTTTTCTTTGTCACATTTTGAAATCGTTTTTTAAACAATTATTTGCGTTATTTATATTTTCCTTTCATTTTTATTGATTAATTATTTTTTTGACTTTGGTTTCTTGATTTTAGAATTAAATAATGTGATTAATTTATTATTTATTATTTTTTTTAGCTTGATGATTACGATAGACTATGACACATATAAAGGAGTATTTAAAACTTACTAATTTTAACAAATGCATAACTTTGCAAAAAAAAAAAAAAAAATGGAAAAAAACTACATTCTCTCATTTATAATTATTTTTTTTGTAATACAATATGTGAAATGTAATATTTGATAAATAAATTATATTTATTTATTTTTTTTTTAAATAAAATTTATTTTCTGTAAATTGTAACACTTATAAAGTTAAATTAAAATTAATTTTTTAAAAGTTTTTTTTTTTTTTGAATCAAATGCTTTAAGTTTTTAATATTTTATAAAATTTTCATAAAATACAGGTTTTTTTTATAATAATAATAATTTTTTTTTTTACAATTCTTAATAAAAATTTATTAAGCCTAAATAATTAATTCTATTCTGTGAGTCTTCAGTTCAGTTCAGTGCACAAATTGCATATGACATTGCCCTTTTAAATTAAAAAGTTTAATGTTACTAATACAAGTAACTCAGTCTTGCATGAGATACTGTACCATAAAGTTAAAAGTAATGGTTTTATAAATTAAAAAAGAAAACTTTTGTGAGTAAAATTATTTTAGAATAAGAAAATTTTTTAAAATTTCTCTGTTAAGTTTTTTATGTAAAAGGTTTTCATAAGGAAAAATTTGCCTTATTCAGTTTGCAAACTTTTTATTAATAATAAAAATTTGTTAATTTTAAAAAATGTGATTTTATTAATAAAATTTGAGTACATTAAATTTTGATTTACTTTTATTTTTTTTAAAAGGGTTAAACATTTACTAAAAGCAGTTTTTATTAATTTCTTGTTAAAATTAAAAAAATTCTTTTTATTTTTATTTTTTTTTGCAAATATGAGAAAGGCAACGAGATAGTTTTCTCTTTAAAAATATTTAATGCTAAAGGCTATAATTTATTTTTAACAATTTGTGAAAGGAGTATTTGATTTTTTTTTTCCTTTCAGATAAATGACCCCTTTATGTATTTAAGTACTGGTTAATTTCTTTTTTTTTTTTTTTTTTTTGAATCAATAAATTAAAAACAATAAATTAAATATTTTTTTAACATAAATTTAAACTTTTACGAAAAGTCACTTATTAAAATTAAAATAGAGAATAATTATTCATACATAATGAAATGATATCTCAAAAAAAAAAATTATTTAATTTTATTTTGAAAAGAATAAATAATAATATTGTATGTAGACCGTACCGAAATTTTAATTTGGCAACACTGTAAAATGAAAAAGTGCAAAAAGTAAACAATAATTTAGTATAGTCTCGTTTTCAAAGCCATGGTCCACTTATAGACGAGTTATAGTAGACAGGTTCACTCTAGTTCTGTACATCGACGGCAGAGTTGGAGTGAATTTTAAAAAGAAAATATAGTTTTTTAATTTATTTCAAAGAGTCTACACATTTATTATTTTAGTACTGTAGTTTTGTGTTTAAGTATTTTGTGACCTACTCAAAAGTTGTTTTTTTATTAATTTTGTTTTTAGGTAAAAGTATTTCTTGAGAAACATAAAAGCAAATCTCATAACGGTTTCTCTATATTCTTTTAATAACGGTGTTATTTTTGCAAATTTTTCTTTTTTCTTTTTTTTTTTTTTTTATTTTGCAAATTTATAAATTACAGATTATATCAATCGATATATATATATTTTTGTGTATTTTAGGTATGTGATATATATTTATTTATTACAAAATGGCATTTTCAGTAGAATCATTACCAAGCAAAGAAAATTTTTGGAATAATGACATTTCTTTTCCGAAGAAAACTTCATTTGATGGTATGTTTTAATTTTTTTTTTTTAAATTTTTTTTACTTCTTATCTAACCATCTTAACTTTTACTCTATTAAAGATATTTAAAAAAAAATCCTTCTGTAAAAAAAAAAATTTTGTATGAAATATAATAATTTTTATTTATTTACCTTTTTTTTATTGTAAATAATATATTTTTCAATGTTTATTGCCAAGGTATTATTTTTGAAAGTTTCAAGGTCATGGTTGAAATGTATTTACAAATTTAAAAGAACTGACCTAGAAATGTTAAACTAGCTCTTAATGTTATTGGTTAACATACATTTTATTTATTAATTTTTAATACAGAAAAAAAAAAATAGCAATATAAGTTTTTTACAAGTTTCTTTTTTATTAAAAAAAAAAAAATGTTTTTAATACACAATTATCTAAAAAATAATAATTAATCTATTTCAATCAAATTTTATCACAAGAGGTTTATATAATCGATTTTAAAGTCCTTAAAAATTTCAGAATATTTCTCTTTATTATTTTCACAAGATTAAAAATGTAATTGTCTATATTTTAATTTGCATACTTATTGGATAAAAAAAGTTATATGTTTATAATAAAATTGTTGTGCTTTTTTTTCTTTCAAATTTTTTATTATTACTGATTTTCTCATTGAAACACTCGAATAAGTTTAAAATTAATTTTTTTAAATGAGTTTTATAATAACCACATCTATTTTCATTTTAATCGAATATGAATTTCTTAAAATTAAGAGTATATACAAAAAACTCAGCAAATGAATTATAAAAAACTTAATCGTAGAAAACCTCTCATAAATTTTAAAATAAAAGTTTCAATAATAATGTTGTATATTGAACCTTAAAATTAAATTGGCACTATTTCGTTCGCGGACTAATTATTGTTATAATTTTATTTTATTATTAAGAAGTATAATCAAAGTTAAATATTTTCGTGTAAGATTATTAACCCCCGAACTGGAAACAAAGTCACGATTTTCTATTATTTCGTTATATACGTTGCCATTGATTTTAACGTCTGCGTGAATTTAGGAATTTAATTAAATTACTGCTTAGAAAAAAAAAAAAAAAAACCAAGGTAATAATAATAATATAATTGAATTGCTTATAAAACCGTGCGAATCGTGTGTTGTCTCAAGGCGAGAAGGAAACGGTCGAGCATAACAATAATAATTATTATCCAAGAAGATTACATTAAATTTGGCGAACCTAAGTTTAATTTAATTTTCATTCACGTCACGCCTCTTGGTATGGTCATAAAAAAAAAAAAAAAAAAAATTCAATCTCACAATTTTTTTCTTATTATTTACTTAGGTTCTCATAAATGGACAAGAATGAGCGGTGAAAATGACATTTTGCCAATGTCTTTCCACCATAAGAATTTGACTAATCATAGAAGCAATGACGTTGCCGACAGAGAAGAAGTTTTGCAGTATTTTAATAAAAAATATACTTTTAAACCCCCCGAATTTGGATGGAATTTACCATTGGAGACTGAAATGTTTAAAGAAGATAAATGGGAGGTTTGTATTATTTCAAATCATGAGTTTTCTTTTTCCATTTTTATTGACCATCAATTATGGGTATTACAGAAGAAAAAAAAAAAGAAAAGAAAACGGAGAAAATGAATACATAATTTTTTTTTTTTTATTTATTTACAGCTTGATATTTTTATTGAGTTGAAAGAAAAATTAAATGAAGTGAAAAACAAATTAAATAATTATAATTTGGATGATTGGCATAAACATACAAGAGCAATGAATAAAGCAGGAAATCTATTATGGACTGTTAAAAAGACTATCGCACCTGAATTTGTTACTCAGGTATAATGAAATTTGTTTAGAGTTTAAGTTAATGTGTGAAAGGAGGTTCATTCTATCTATATTGTGGGAAGTGAAAGGACGAATGAAATTTTTAAAATTGAATGTTTCCTGTTAATAAAAAAAAAAAAAAAAAAAAAATTTTTTTTTGTTGTAAATATTATTATTATTTTTCAAATTCAAAATGGTTTTTTTTTTTGATTTATAAAATTACTTTCTTATTACACTCTTGAATGAGTGGTAAATTATACATTTATTTATTTATTTATTTTTTTTTTTTTAAACTTAGGCGTGGCTTAAATTTTATGAAATCTGTTGTTGTTATGATTTTGTAAGCAAATCTGCTCAAGAAGCATATTATTTAAATTCAGTACATTTATGTGAAGCTCCTGGTGCATTCATAACATCACTTAATCATTATTTAAAACTCAATCATCCTGATTTAAAGGTAAACATTTTTTAAATTTTAACAATTATAAATAAATTATTAAATTCGAAAAGAGGAAAAAATTAATTAATTTTTCTCATTATTTAATAAATCAGTGGGATTGGATTTCGACCACTCTTAATCCTTATCACGAAGAAAATCCCTTATCGATAATGATTAACGATGACAGATTTATTTTACACACTTTGGATCATTGGAAATTTGGCGAAGACAATACTGGAAATTTGATGGATTTAAATAACATGACAAATTTGGTTAAAGAAGCTGAAAACATGGGACCTGTTTTAATGGTAAAGAATCCATTTTAATTTGTTTTTTTTTTTTTTTGCTTTCTTTTAGAAAATTTGAATTTTAAAATTAATGTTGCATTGAAAAAATATTTACAAATTTATTTGTGATTAATTTAAATTTAGGTCACTGCCGACGGAAGTATCGATTGTCAAAATAATCCTGGAGAACAAGAAAGTATTGTTTCATGTTTGGTTTACTGTGAAATTGTTTGTGCACTCCATATTTTAGCCAAAGGTATAATAATAAATTTTACACTTGTATTTAATTTTATTTATTTTATTCATTTTTTAAACAAATTTGTCTAAAATAGTAATTAATTAATTGCAGGAGGAAATTTTGTCGTTAAAATGTTCACAATGTACGAAGAGCAAACAATTTGTTTGATGTATTTATTGGTGTGTTCTTTTGAATACGTACACGTATTTAAACCTGCTTCGAGTAAAGAAGGAAATTCGGAAAATTATGTGATTTGTTTAAATTATGTCGGACCCGATTCCATGAAACCATGGCTTCGTAAATTGAAGGCTTATTATTGTAAGTGTGCATGCCAAAAATTGTTGGACAAAAATGGACAAAAAAAATAAAAATAAATAAAAATGAAATCGTTTTTCATTTTTTATTATAGCCGAGGAACGACCTAATAAATCCATGTTTCGTTTAAGTGATATTCCTAAAGACTTTTTCGATCAATTATATGAATGCACAAAAATATTTAAAAACTATCAGGTAATTATAACAATCAATAATTATAACGCTATGTTAATACATTTATAATGAGATATTTTTAGTAATTATAATATTTACTTATATTATTTAATTTAATTTAATTTAATTTTTTTTTTAGGTGGAAGTGATTGAAAGAAATATTTATTTATTTGAATCGATAAATAATCAGCAGTCGATAAATAGAACTAAACGTTTAAGATACGCATTGGCCGACGAATACATCAAAAGGTACAATTTGAGACCTTTAAATTCAAAAGAAGATGAAATTGTTGGCGAAGACAAGTTGGTAAGTAAATTTTTCTTTTTATTTTTTTTTTTAAGTTTTCATAAATGTTATGAATATTTATGTATAAATATATTTTTATTAGAAAAAAGCTGAAACGCCGAATATAGATAGAAGGTGGGAAGAAGGTTCGTTTAATGATAAAATTGAAAGAGAAAAAATGCCGCCGGTTGTCAAAGTTAGAAATTTACATCAAAACGTTCAAAAAATGTCGATTCGATGGGAATACGATGAAGAAATTAAATGGATGGAGGTTCGTATGACAAAAAAATAAAATACAAAAATCTGACGAAACTTTTTTTAAGAGAATTTGTTTTTTTTTTTTATTAGTTTCCCTCGTACGGGAATAAATTCAAGGTTGTTGTTGGAAAATCCGTAACTTCAGTACATAGCTCAAAATTTTGTTCTGGAAGATTATTAAAAATAAGAAACGAAATACGACATTTGGCCAAAGAAAATTTTCCTTCCGTGGTAATTAATTAAAAATATTAATATAATATATATTAAATATATATGTGAGGGATTTTACAAAAAAAAAAAAAAACTATTAATTGACTAAAAATTTTTAGTTTCAAACTTTTTATACTCCAAAATCGAATGCTGTGACTCCTGCCAAAGAATTAAGTCCCGAATTAAAACGTATTATTCAAAAATCATTTTCTTTGACGGATCCCCGTGTGAGAGTTTTGAATTACGAGGTATTTATTTTAATTTTGGTGGGTGGTAATTAAAGTCCAAATTTAAATTTTAAACGGAAAAAAATCAATTTCGAATCATTTATTTTAGGATCAATTATGGAATTCGTTGGAAAGTGGTCAGAACGAATGTTGCGAAAGCAACGTTTTATTCGATATAATGGATGAAATGGAAGAAAAAATGTGGAGGGGATACAGTTTAATTATTCAGGGTTATCCGATGCTTACTCAATTTACAGCCGGAGTCATATATTTGATGGGACATCTTTTCGAAAAGGTTTGTGTTCGATTCGATTTGATCTTTTTTTTACATTTATGCAGAAAAAACATGACAAAAGCCTCTCTCCACCCCCCCCCTTTTTTTATAGGTCGGTTTTGTTCGTCCTTCTGGTCAACACGTAGCTGTGATATTTCGCGAATACCGATGCACAAATCACATAATGAATAATTTCGTACGCGAATTGGACTCTCAAGTCGACAAATTGGACAGAAATAAAGAAAAGTCGGTGTTGTCATTGATTCCGATAGGAGAACTCATATGTAAGTAATCTTATATTTGACCTGTAGGTTTTTCTGTTCAATATTTTATTAATGTTGTTGAGATAAGATGAAAATACAAAAGGCCGAATTTGAACGCCAAAGGAGTCGAGCTCGTGTAATAACATTGAGAACCTCTTTGAAAATGGCACGTGTTAATTTTGAAGCGACCTGATCTTAACAAATAATCTAAAACATTGTTCGTTTCGTTTTTTTTTTTTTTTTTTTTTTTTCATTGCTGTTTTAACTAAAATTATTATCATCATTATTATAGATGGTCATAACGAGTTTTATTCTTGCGTGACTGCCGTGAATAATCTATGCGTCAAAGAACAAATCAATGACCTGGTATATAAAATAGGAACGGCCGTTTCCATGCCAGAACATTAAAAAATTTAATTTTTTGTTTTATTTATTTTCAAAAATCAAAAAGGAAAGGAAAGGAAAATCTACAAGGGCAATTAACTTGTAAACTATTTTAATATTTATTTATAAAAATCATCATCATTGATTGTGAAAGAGGGGGTAACCTTCTGGAAAAAAACGACACTCATAACTGATAGTATAAGTTCCTAATTTTATAAAAATTCCATAAAAAGTAACTTTGTTTCGGTTTTATTTTTTTATTTTTTAATTTTAAATTCTATTTATTTATTTTTTTTATAATAATAAATTTTTTATTAATTAATCGCGCGGTACTAATACTACTACTACTACTACTTCTACTAATCGATAATTTTTTTATTTATCTATATATATATTATGTATAACTTCATTTTTTTTTTTTTTTAAAAAATTATTTAACATTAGTCCGATATCAGCTAGTCTTATTATACAGTAAATTTTACATTATTTATTTAAAATAAAATAAAAAAATTTATAAAATAAGTTAAAAAGTTATTATTATTATTATTATTATTATTATTATATTTTTTATATATTAAGGTTAGATTATGAGGTGTTTCCCAAATTTTTGTTTTTTTTTTTTTTAAATTATTTTAAATTTATGTTTTGTTTGTTTGTTTGTTATTAAAAAAGGGGGAAAAAAAAGTTGAAATAAAAAGCATTTATTATTATTATTATTATTTAGTTTTAGTATTTAATAAATTTTTTTTTTACGTTTTTTTATGTATTTTTAATAAGTTAAAAAATAAATTTTTATATTAAAAATGATTTTAAAAAAAAATGCCGACTATAATTTTTTTTTTTTTTTTTTTTTGTTATGATTATTCAAAATTTTTAAAATAATTTTTGTTTTATAAAACGGTATAAATTTTTAATTTATATATATATATATAATATTTATATTTTATTAAACAAATAAATACACATTTTAAATTATTTTATTTAAATATAATCAATCAATCAATTAATCCATTAACTAAATATTTTTTACTTTTTTTTTCTTCAAAATTTTATTTTATTTTTATTATAAAATTCATTATTATTATTATTATTATTATTATTTTTTGTCACACATATAGAAAAAAAATTCATCGTACGTATTTTATATATATATAATGTATTTAAAAATTATTTTCTATCTCTTTTTATTTATTTATTTTTTTTTAGCTAAGTAATATCTCAACTTTTTATACATGAAAATACATAATAAACTAAAAATTATGTCAATTAATAAATTTTAATTAATTAATTAATAATTTAAAATTAAAACATTTTTTTTTTGTTTACATTAAATAGAACAAAAGAAAAAATTTTATATCATTTAAAATGAACAGGAAAATTCGTAATGAAAATTAAAAAAAAAAAAAAAAATTCGAATCATATTGTTTATGTATGAAATTACTATCATAACATTAACTAAAAAATTTAAATTTAAAGTATTAGTAAACTTTTTAATGTTTCGATTAAGTTCATTTTTTTTTTTTTTTTTTTTTAAATAATTTAGTTTATGATTTATAGTTTTTAGTTTAATAATTTTAATCTAAAATAACATATTCGATTATTTTCTTTTCATTTTTTTTCTTTTTTTCATTTTCTCTTTCATTATTGTCGGCTGCTTCAAATATAAAGTAACGCGTTTTACTTTTAGACGAATCACATTTTTTATTTCTATCATTATTAAATTCGACATTTTTTTCATAACAATTCGTTATGGTGTCAAATCCAGAAACGTTACCCTGAACGTCAACGATTTTGGGAAAAAATGTTCCAGGGTTTTCCGCATCCGTTTCCTTTGATGTATCCCTATTGCTTTTTTCCGTAGGATAATGAGAAGTATTAGGTTGATACGAATACCTTCTGACCGTGGTTAAATTTTTCGACTCCGCTGGTATTTCTCCAATAATGACGACATCATCGTGATCTGTTTTTTTATTCGCGTCGTTGAAATTTCTTTTAATCCTTTGAGAACTTTTAAAGCTTTTAAAGACTCCTCGGATCCATTATTTAACGTGTATTTTTTTTTCGGCATCGTTATTGATATAGATGGCGGTGAATCCCGAAGGAATTTCTTCACCCTTTCTTCGTCCGATGATTTTTTCGACGATTTCCATTGTTGGTTTATTTGTCCATCATTTATTTCTTCTGAATCTGTTGATTCTGTAGACTCGCAACGAGTCTTTAAATTTATTTTTTTGCAATTTATCGCATTTGAATCGGAAAACGTGGTATTATTTCGTAACTCGAATTCTTCTTTCTTTTCACATTTTCCATATTGACTTATATCAGGTAATGATAAAGGTTTCATTTCAGTCTTGAGTTCAGAATTATTAAAAACTCTGTCATTTTCTTTTTGATTGACTCTAATTCCATCATCGTCCTCATCATCCATTTCTTCTTCATCTTCACCTTTCATTTTGTCCACGTTACATTCCGCATTCCAATTTTTTTTATTTTTATCATTTTCGTCATTGTCTCCACTGTCGTCACTTCCTCGGGTGCTACCTCGTAAATTTCTTTTCCCTTCACTTTTTTCCCTTTCGGATTGGCTAAAATTTTTTTTACCGTCGTAGTTTTTTTTGTTATTGTAATTATCTTTGGTTTTTTCTTTGCGGTCAGTCCCGCGATTACGATTTTTTATCGTCGATGATTTTATATTAACCGTAAATTTTTTGTTCCGTAATGGTTTCTTAGGTTTACGAATACCGAAATTAAAAGAAAAGGTTGGCGTAGAAACTTTCAAGATGTTTTTCTTCTTTTGACGATTACCACAAAAAAATCGATCGATATTCGTAAGATCGCGAAATAGTCTATTGCAAAATTTATCTTTTTTTTTTTCCTCATTGAAGCCATTTGTAATTCTGTCCAATAATATATTAAATGTTGGCTCGATTTCACAATATCCAATATCAAATTGAGAATTTAATACCGTGCACGATTTTTCAGAGTTATCTGAACTTTTATAAATATTTTTATCATCATCACTCCTCCTGTTATCCGGATCCTCTAATACATTATTAAATAATAATTTTGGTTTTTTACTTTTGGGCATTTCACTGGGCGGATGATTTTTTTTTATTTTTGTATTACTTTTTAATATTTCCGAATTTCTAATCTCTGTATTCTCATTATTATTCTCATTATTATTATTTGAAATAGGACTTGTGTTATCAGCAGAATCAGTATTAGTATTCTCCGGTGTTTTATTTGAATTTAAAAAATTTTCACCGTCTTTTAATTCATTTTCCGTACCAGGCACTTGCTCGACATTTTTTTCTATCGATAAGTTTTTTAATTCTTTTTGCACATTTTCGGTATTAACAACACTTTTACTGCTGTTCAAATTTTCTTTTGACAAATTCCCCTTCTTTTTTTCTCGCCATTTTAATGATTTGCAATTTTCAAAATTATTTTTGCTTTCTTTTTTTTTTAATAAATTTAAATTATTTTCTAAAGCGGAAGAATTTTGTTCGTTTATTAGACGTGAATTTTTATCTGTGAAATCAAAAAAATAAAATAAAAAAATAAATAACGTATTTTAGAATAATTTACAAAAATTGCGTTACTACTATTTTAAAACTTTAAAACTATTGCTTTGTAATTAATTTTCACCATTTGTATCAGAAATCACTTCATCCGTCAGAGAAGATTCGCTGATGTTTAGAATTTTGTCATCATCATCATCAGCGGAGCTTTCAATTTCTTCCGGTTCACTTTCTTCATTACTACTCGCAATAGGCGATTCATTGGCTTCGTTATCTTGAACCTCTTTAGCCTTTAAACCTTGTTTCGTTTGTATTTCAGAATAATGGGCAAAAATCTACAATAAGAACAAAACATTATAAGATTTAACTTTGGTGCTTATTTTATATGCATAAATTATAACGTAACCTCTTGTTCTTTTTTAACTCGATTATCAAAATTTTCTTTAAATATTTTTTTGAGTTCTGGATTGTCTTCGGCTGGATCACTTGAATCTTTTAAAAATCCACAAAAAGAATCCCATAAATCGTATTTTCTTCTTTCTTGTAGCATAACGCCAACTTGTTGAAAAATTTCCGTCGCTAAAAGTAAAAATCTAACAGTTACTAAATATTATATTCGAAAAGAAAAAAATGAATACATCAGAATAACTAAATTAATAAAAATTGTTTAAATTACTTTGATACAATTTATTGTACCAATTACCTATGAGTCTTATTTTATCTGGGTCATTTGTTGACAAATCTAGGTAAGAACTTTGATTTTCCAGGAGCTTTACAATATCGGTAAAATCAGGAAACCTTTTCGTTTCGTTTAGCCAATTTTCAATAATCTTATTTACATTAGGATATTTAGATCCAGAAAAACAAATTTTTCTTAAATATATACGATTTGCATCCGGGTTTTCATTTGTATATTTACATAGTTTTTTGTAAATGGTACAAAATCTTTTTCTGTGCCTGTAAAAATCAATATATAAATTAAATATTTATCACAATAATTATATCATACTAAAACATATTATAACTAAATATATTTAAAAAATTCAACCTTTGAAGTTTAACATAAGTAGAATTTTCTTCGTCGCTTAAATCAACTTCTGTTTCCTCCAATTCTCTTATTTTTTTAGCAAGTAATTCTAAACTTTCATTTATTTTATTAAGAATTTTAATTTTTTTACTCATCCTTTCATTATTCAAATCTTCACATATATAAATCTCATCATTTGTGTCATTTGAAGATTTCAATTCTTTTTTTGTCACAATACTTATTTTCTAAAAATTTAAAAAAACATTTTAAGTAAAGTGTAAATGTAAGGACGGTTCAAAAATTAAAAATATTGTTTAAAATCAACTTTTACCCTTTGAGCACTTAAATTATCACAAAGTTCTTTGGCGATTAAATATAAATTATTTTCTTTAATTTTTTCAATACAACTCTTGACAAAATTTTTAAAATGTTGTGAAGAAGTGTATTCAGGATCTGCATTTTTATATCGCTTATTTAATTTTTTCGATAACCTCTCTCTGTCCGCTGGAACTTGCTCTAATGATGTACATAAACTCACAAACTAAAAATTTTGTAATAAGATTAATAATTTTGACTATATAAAAGTCAAGGAGGTCAGCATATAAAAATTACCTCATTGAAAAAATCATTACTATTACAAATATTTTCACTTTTTACAGGATTTAGATTTAACTCCTTTGAATCGGTTTTACTTGAATCTTTAATTTGAGATTCCATTTTTATTTCATGAATTTTATTAGTTTTACTTTTTTTCAAAAGAGCCCCCAATAGAGCATTATTACTTGTTTTTAGATTTGTTGATTCCAAACTACTCTTAACATTTACATCATTGGAGTTTGAAATTTCATTGATGACTATTAAAGATGAATCAATCTAAATAAAACAACAAAAAAGTTATAAATTTATTTCAAATTTTTTTTTTTTATTTTTAAAACTATATTTAATTAACCTCTATTGCCTCATTGTTTTGTGAGTTTTTGGAAGTATTTTCAGGTATGTTTATGAGATCAACAATTTCAGGTTCTTTATTTTTGTTATGGTAGTTAATTGTTGTTGAAGTACTAGTTTCAATTTCATTTTTTTGAATTTTAGCTTCAACTGATGCATTTTTTGACTGTTCATAAAAAGCATCTGCAAATTTTCTTTTTATAAGTTGTTTAAGATTTGATGATTCAGGCGTTTCCCGTTTGGAAGAAAACTGAAAATAAATTAAAAATTTTTTTTTGTAAAAAAAAAAATTATTTTTTACACTAAATTATTGTAAATAATGTTAGAAAAGAATTACAATTCATACAATTCATTCAAATCAACTCAACTCATACAATTTAATTGTTTGATTTTATACTTTATTTATTAATTATTAATAATTTTTATTAAAAAATAATTTTCTCAACAAACTCTTTAAATATACCTCAACAATTTCTTCTTCATCAGATGATAAGGTTATTATTTCCTTTTCAATCATAATTTTAAAACAACAAAAAAAACTAAAAACCGACAAAGGGTCTTTTGTAATTAATAAAAACAATCTTATTTTTCTAAATTTTGTGTTTTTTTCTGTTTTAAAAATGACAGATATTAAAGCTTTAAGCAGTTAAAAATAAAAACAACGTAAACCAATGAAACAGACATGACGCCAATTCTAGGTAATGACAACACAGTGTACTTAGAACCTTTTATAAAGGGCCCAGAAAATTGATTTTAAAAAAATTATTGTATTTATTCTATAATTTGTTGAAAATTATTTTGCAAACAATCATTATCTTTAAAAAATTATCTTTTTAATTACGTTTTATTATTTGACATATTAATTTAAACTTTAAAACTATTATTAATAAATTTAAAATGAGAATGTTATTCTTTAGATACATAAACAATTTAAACATTTTTTAGCTTTTGAATGTTTTAATGTGTATAAATATTAGATAAAATGTATAATTGTGAAGTAATTTGTTTAAAACGAATAATAAAAAATAAAAAAAAACGTCGGACTTAAAAATTTTAAAATTTTCATAGAGAATTTTATCGGGGCCTTTAACACACAAAGAAAAATCTAGTCAATTCTGTTATTCAGTTTGAAAACAGTCACTCGGCAGCCATGTTAAGATGTAAATGTGGTTTATGACATATTTGTATTTCAGTTAATTATTTTTAGTGAAGTGTCAAACAATTTGGATTATTTTCATTTGGATTCTTAATGTAACAAAATGAGTTGGGGGATTGAGCTTTGGGTGAGGATATTTATTTTAAAAACATTAACGTACATTTTCCTTTTTATTTTGCCTTTAGGCGGATTCTTGTCGAAGCCTGATTATTAAAATCTACTTTGCTTACTATATATATATATATATATTAAACATAAAAATCTAAACTTAAAATATTATTTTTTTACATTTCAAGTTCAGTTTTAAGACGGGAAAATAGTAAATTATTTCATTATTTTTTTTACTTTTGACGCAATCAAATTATGATTAACATTACTCCTAAATTTTTCATAAATTTCAAAAATTTTTTATTTTGCAGTTACTTTTATAATTTGGTTTATTAATATAGAACGCAATATGATTAAATAATATGCTTACATTCAGTAAGAATAAATAACTTATTGATTATTTGGATTAATTTATAGATTATTTTTGTTTTTAAATATTTTAAGTGAAACATTTATAGTAAATACTTATTGATAAGTGTGTCAGTGGTTTTTTTAATTGCAATTAAGTATTTCTATGAATGACTTATTTACTTAATTACCGTTCTAATAATATATATGTGTATGTGTGTGTGTGTGTGTGCATGTTTGTGTGTGAATGAATTAATAATGTAAATTATGAAATGTAGAATTTAATATGAAATTTTCTATTTTCACTTTGTTTTTACAATTTGAAGATCATACTCATTAAAATTTAAATCCCATACAATAAAAAGAAATTTTTTGTTTTTTTTTGTTTTAATTATGATCGAAGATAATTTGAATATTTTGAAAATTATCAAAAATATAATCATTCTATTATTTTTCAAGCATTGCGAATAGTTTTTAATTTTATGAAAATTAAAAATGGGGTGAAATGTCGACTTGAATAACATCAAAAGAGTTTAAAAGAAAAAAAATTTTTAAATTTTCAATAACTTATGTATTTTTTTTGGCTTGATCATAAATATCATTTGCAAATTGTGATATTTAATAAAATTTCTAACAGAGTAGCATATATATATTTATGGCAACCCTTATTTTTAACTTTTTTATTTTACAATGTTGTTCTCTTTTGCAGAGAAACAATTATTTTTTTATTAAATGATGACTAACCTCCAAGAATTTTCACAATGTTATTTTTTTATTTTGAATTTTACAAATATTTTAATATTCTTAAAGATTTTATATATTTACATTTCGGAAAAGAATTCAGGTTTAATATTTTCTCTAATGGACGAATACAAAATTCAGGTTAAATCACTAATGGTAACTTTTTTAATATAATCTCTATTGTAATCTTTGCACATATTTTTTTTTTTTTTTTATCAAACTATACATACACACAAAAATTAAACAATTAATACTTTTAATATTAAATTGTGTTATGCAAAAAAAACATATTTTTAAATGAACAAAACTTTTATTTCAGTTTTCAATTATTGTTTTATTTAACTTTAGGGGCAAAAATTAAAGTCGCCATTACTGTAATATGTAAACTCATTTTATAAATAATTTTTGTTTTCCACTTTAAAAAAAAAAACAAAACAAAACAATTTTTTTCTGGTTGCCATATAAAATTTGAAAAATTTGTTTTAGGAAAATATTAATGAATGATTTTTCCAATTTAGGCAAAGTTTTTTTTTTTTTTTTCTTCTTCTTCTTCATCATATGAATCTATTGTTGCATGTTTTTGTTTTTAAATAATTCTTTGGGGAAAAAAAAAATTTAACGGAATTTATTTTTTTGCGATTACGTATTTATTTTATGAGTTTATGTTTTGGATTTTACATATATATATTTTATTTTTATAGATTTTATTTATTTATAATTTGGCAAGTATAAAGGACAAATACTACAATTCAGTTCAAATCACCATTACTTAAAATACTTTTTTTTTTTTTTTTTTTTTTAATATTCGGAAACGCAGGGTTCATTTTTATTACCTTAAATTTTTTTTATTGAAATTAATGATTTTTATTTAATTAATAATTTAACGTTTAATGAAAGTTTTTTGAAATAAGATCGTCTGAGTTAAGCTATAAAATTATTATTGTTATTATTATTATTATTATTTTTTTTTATTAGAATTTTATTATCCTGATTGAAAATATAATTTTTACATTTTATTGATTCTTTATAAAAGACCAATAAAAAAAAAAAAAGTAAATGGTTAAAAATAGTAGAGTTATCATTTATTGTAGTAAATTCTATTGTGTCTTTTTTATATCGTAAATTTATTAGAATTGTTGACGGTCGTCTAAGAATTGAAATATAAGACAATTTTAAACACAAAAAAAAAAAAAAAAAAATTAAGAATTTTCTTGAATAAATTCAAATTGGTGAAAGTATATATATATATATATATTTTGTTTTTGTTAGTTTTTTTATTTTTTATTTTTTAATAGTTAAATTAGCTGTGGTTAAATATTTGGTGGTTCGGTTCAATTATAAAAGGATTTCGTAATTTTTTTTAAAAAATTATTTCGTTTAAATATTTTCCAAGAGTTAGAGTTAGAGAAATTATTAATATTTTGATTGAATTTTTAAGTAAAATTCTGTGATTGTTTGCATCGAATCGTTTTGGTTGGTTTGACGAATTCCTCCCCCCCCCCCCCGCATAGTTTAGTAAGTATTGGAAAAATAATTAGTTTATTTAGGGCGACCAGTTTAAGTTGTTGGCCAAAAACAAAAAGAAACCCACTTGCGATAGACTTTTGATGAATTATAAGAGAGTATCGTTTTTTGATTAGTTAATACCAACGCTAGTTTTTTTTTTTTTTTTTTTTTTTAAAGCCCTAAAACAAAAAATTAATTGCAAATCAATACGACGAAAAAAAAAAAAAAAAAAATGAGGTGTACAATTTTTCGAGGCGATTTTTACTTTAAAAAAAAAAATAATACCTGAAAATTTTCGACAATCACAAACAGAAATGCATAATAATATTTTTTTTCGAAGTTTAAGCAAAGTCGCTTGTAGAAATTTTTTTTTTTTTTTACGTCCTAAAACTCATGAATGAATTTGGGTCCTCAATAAAATGTAACTCTTTGAAAATTATCGAATTCAAACGAATTAAAAGGAAAAAAAAATTTTTTTATTTTAAAAATAATTTAAAGTGTTTCGATCAGTGATTGATTTTTTTTTAGCAACGAATGAAGTGTTTAGAAAGCTCCGTCGTAATTTAAGCCCAAAAATTTAATTGATTAACCACTCGTAATAATTTTTTTTTAAAAGAATATATTTTCGTTTAGTTTTCTTTAAAAAAATTACTTAAAGTATTAAAAAAAAAAATACAAATGTATTTTATTATTGCTTTTTTTTTTTTTTTTTTTGCTTGAATCTTTTCTTTTTGTTAATCAAGGCGCCAATTATTTACGTAGCTAAAAGTCTTATAGATTTAGAAACGGAAGACGTACAAGACGATATCTTTAAAAAAAACCGGATGTTCAATTATCGCAAAGCAGAAAATAAAAAGTTTTTCATTCGAAAAGCATAATAATTAATCATGTTAATAATTTTTTAATGAAA